CCAATAAAATTGCTCAATTCTGTGATAGTTTTGGACAAACCAAATGGTAACTAAGATGGGCTGAAAAATACAAGTCTAATATGCAGATTATTGACAACAATAAAGCTATCACCTTTGAAATTGGGAAAACATTCGTTTTCAGTTATGAGGAGCTCTATGAACATTAAATCTTACTGTCAAACATTTTCACATGCGCCCTTCATTTGTTTGCTCGGATAACAAAATGCTTTTCTTGACAGCAACAGAATTAAGCATGATTTGGTTAGCTTTGAATAAAATGCATTAACAAGCCTGCTGATTGGTATTCTTTTAGCGCTTTTGGCAAGTAACTCCTGGAGGTTGTGGCGAACTGTACATTTAAGCTATGCTGTACTAAAGGGTGTCTTGGATGACTCCGCTATGAGACTGCTTTATAATGCTTGGGGGAAAGCTGATCAATCTGTTTTTATGTCAAAGTCTACTTGTCTTCAGTAAAAGTCTGCACTTGTCCTCTGGCTTGTGACTCAACCCACTCCCCGGCCCCTAACGAGGAATGTGAACACAACCTATTACATCTCTGCTCCACACAGTTTCTTATTTAGCATTGTCACCTGACACTTATTTGCATTATTTCAAATACATACTTATTTTCCATCCTGTGTGAATCTAATAGCTTGATAGCCCAGCCTTGAAGTGTATACCCTTATGAATTGTTTGTAATGCAACAGAGAGAGAATAAATATGCATTGAAATAATTCCACAAACTCAAAGTCCTCTGGTGTTTCACTCAAATGGCCGTTCCCCTGGTATGACTTGTTATAGCTAGGTTATTACTATTATGGAGTGATGAGAGTTTTTGTTGATTTGCAGTGTCAAGCATGTACTTGCGACAGACCACAGATAATGGTGAGAACCTTTCCTCGAAGCCATGGGACGAGCATAGACTTGTATTAAGACTGACACTTTCTTAATTTGAATACTTTATAACCTTGATTGATATTGGGTGCAACGTTTAATGTGAATGCTCCAAACTGACCAAATTATGTTAAAAAGCCTAAATTTTTGTTGGACCTTGAAATGGTGGTTGGATACCATGCTTCTGGTAACGAGCTATAACTCCCCTCTGGTTCAGAAGGGTCGAGGTTTAAGTACCACTCCAGAGACTTGACTGCAGATTCTGTGCTGATGCTCCTATGTTGTTCTAGAAAACTTGGTCAGAATGCTGTCTTTCTTTCATACTTATTTAAGAGCACTGATCTGCTCTTCAGTGGATCTAAAAGGTTCCAAAAAACCGTTACGAGAAGGGTGTCCTTGCTGGTGTTCAAGCCAATATTTATATCTCAACCTTAAACTTGGGTACCTTATCTACTAATTCTTACATCGCTGATTGTTGGATCTTGCATGGCACAAGTTGGCTGTCATGCTTCCTGCATTATATATAATATTGTAATGCTTTAGACTGTAAAATGCTTTGAAATTACCTCAGTGTTTGAGTGTATATTTGAACTTAGGAACTTTTGAATTTATACGTAAAAAGACATTGTAAGTTGTGGATGTAGATATCTGCTATATTGGCCTACCCTTCATATAATTTGTGCATCATGACATCAAGCAGTTACAATTCATTTCTGCGCAACCATGAGATTCCAGTGATTCTCTTTTGAAAGCCAGTCTCCAATTAGTATAGCTATCAATAGCAGTTTGAATTAGAGGTGGAGGTTTATAAAAGCTGTGTGTCTCCATTTGAAAACTGTTTCACTGGACCCAAATTGTGTTACTTGGATCAATTTACAATTTCTATTAACTTATTTTTCTATCAGTATGCTGCAGCTACAATCAGAAGATTTCTCCATGTAAAAGCCAAGTTGCTGTCAACATTTCAACCCATTAAACATTTTGATGTTTTTTTGGCAATTTGAATCTTTCAGTTTAAATATCTTTGCATTCGCCAATGGTCATGAAACAGATTTCTTAAACGTTTCCAACAAAATAAATAAAATTCCACTGAGATCTGAAAAGGTTATTGTAATCGGTGATCTGTTCTTTGTTCATAAGAACATAAGAACGAGGAGCAGGAGTTGTCTGTCTGGCTCTTCGAGCCTACTCTGTCATTCAGTAAGATAATGGCTGATCTTTTCATGTCGTCAGTTCGGTTTACCCACCCACTCATAACCCTTAATTCCTTTACTGTTCAAAAAATTATCTATCTTGGCTTTAAAAATGTTCAACGAGGAAGCCTGAACTAGTTCACTGGGCAGGGAATTCCACAGATTCACAACCCTTTGGGTGAAGAAGTTCGTCCTCATTTCAGTCCTAAATTTGCTCCCTGTTATTTTGAGACTTTGCCCTCTTGTTTTAGTCTCACTCACCAGTAGAAACAACCTCCCTGCTGTTATCTTATCTATTGCCTTCATAATTTTATGTTTCTATAAGATCCCTCCCTTATTCTTTTAAATTCCAAGGAATATAATCCCAGTCTACTCAGTCTCTCCTTATAAGACAACCCCCTCAACTCTGGAATCAACCTAGTGAATCTCCTCTGCATTCCCTCCAGTGCCAGTCCATCATTTCTCAAGTAAGGACACCAAGACTGCTCATAGTACTCCAGGTATGTCCTCACTGGAATCCTGTACAGCTGCAACACAACCTCCCTGCTTTTAAACTAATCCCTCTAGCAATGAAGAACAGAATTCCGTTGCCTTCTTAATTACCTGTTGTACCTGTAGACTAACGCTTCTGCGATTCATGCACAAGGACACCCAGGTCCCTCTGCACAGTAGCGTGCTGCAAATTTTTACCGTTCAAATAATAGTCCTTTTTACTGTTATTCCTACCAAAATGGATGACTTCTCATTTATCAGCAATGTACACCTTATGCCAGACCTTTGCCCACTCACTTAACCTATCTATATCCCTTTGCAATCTTTGAGTCTTCTACGCACTTTGCTCTACTACTCATCTTAGTCATCCGCAAACTTTGACACACTGCAGCTGGTCCCCAACTCCAAATCATCTATGTAAATTGTAAACAATTATGGTTCCAACACTGATCCCTGAGGCATACCTCTAGTTGCTGTTCGCCAACCAGAAAAGCACTCGCATATCTTTGCCTTTTGCTTCCTGTTAACCAATCCTCGATCTATGCCAATACATTGCCTGTAAGGCACGTGCACCATTATCTTATGCAGCAGCCTTTTGTTGGGAACCTTTTGGAAATCCAGATCCACCACATCTACTGGGTACCCCATGTCCACCGTGCTCATAACGTCTTCTCAAATTTCAAAAATTAGTCAAACGTGACCTACCTTTAATGAACCCATGCTGCTTCCGCTCAATGGGGCAGTTTCTATCTAGATGTCTTGCTATTTCTTCCTTGATACATTCAAGCATTGTGTCCCCATTACTGAAGTTAAGCTAACCGGCCTATAATTTCCCATCTTTTGTCTACCTCCTTTTTTGGAAAACAGCCAATGTGACGCTGCTTTTCAATCTGCTGGCACTGCCCCAGAGGCCAGCGAACTTTGGAAAATTGCAACAAGTACATTTGCTATAAATTCCGCCATCTCATTTAGTACTCTGGGAAGCATTCCATCACGGTCAGGAGACTTGTCTACCTTTAGCTCCATTAGCACCACCTCTTTAGTGATAATCATGTCTAGGTTCTCACCTACTTTAGTCTCTCTTCATCAATTACTGTTAAGTTATTTGTGTCCTCCATTGTGAAGACCAACACACAATACCTGTTCAATGCCTCAGCTATTTCCTGTTATTAAATCCCCCTGCTCATCCTCTCAAGGATAAATGTTTAACTTAGCCACTTTTTTCACTTCATGTATTTATAGAAACTTTTGCTATTTGACTTTATATTTTGAGCTAGTTTAGTTTCATAATCTATCTATCTTTTCTTTATAGGCTTTTTTTGTGGCTTTCTGTTGACCTTTAAAGTTTTCCCAACCTTCTAGTGTTCCCACTGGTCTTAGCCATTTTGTATGTCTTGTCTTTCAATTTGATAATCTCCCTCGTTTCCTTAGACATCCATGGCTGATTACCCCTTTTCCTACAGTTCAGACAGATGTAAAATGCCAGCCTGTATAAAAAGTACAAAAATCCTCATTATAAACCAGAAACTGTTCTGTAATGTTAGGACGCTGTTTTTAAATCTACTGCGTTTAATTTGTAGTGAAATTAGTTCCAGACCACGCACAGAAGAGCAGTTTGTATATGTGTGTATGAGTGTGTGTTTGTTTGTTTGTTTGTTAGTTGTAAACTCAGTGTGTTAGTTCTGATTGTGAACCTTTCTTGATGTTTACGAAAGCTCCACACTAGTTATAAAATGTATACAACTAGTACAGGCAAACTGGATTGCCTGTCTACCCACAGACTGTGCAAGAGAACAGTCAATAGCACCAAAAGTAGTGAATTGAATCTAGCAATTGAAGTTTCTTCTCTTCCGAAAATACCAAATGGGTATTCTGCTTCTCTTTACATGGTTTTAGTTTGTCTCCCCTTTACCAATTGATGAACGTGTCGTATATGACTGACGTTCTGATTATTGCTTTTGGATTTTCATCATTGAATGTCATTTGCTGTCCAAAGAAGTGCAGATTAGGTGGCTTGGCCATGCTAAGTGACCCCATACTCCAGGGATGTGCAGGCTCGGTGGTCCAGCCGTGGTGAATGCAAGGTTATGCAGATGGGGGGAAGGGAGGGGCTGTGGTCTATGTGAGATGCTGTTGGGACGGTTGGTGCAGATTTGGTGGGATGAATGGCCCCTATCTACACTTTAGGGATTTTGTTGTTGTTATTGCTTATTTGTGGCATTTGTGCTATAGCCAAAGCAGGGAAACAGTGTTTTGAATTGGCTTTCAACTGGTCCAAAGTTGTGTTGCCATCTTGTTTAACTTGCTCTGCTGTTAAAGCTAGATGTAATGCAAATGTACATTTTGTTTATTTTATGTTGCTGTTCATCTATTTGCAAACAGGGTCATTCTAACTAATATCTGTTTGCTCCCATTTTACAGGAGTTTGTTTACAAAGAAGCTTAAAGATCCTGTACCATTAGAGCAGAATGTTCAAGGATGGAAATTATTTGGGAGGATGCCTGCCAAGGAAAGCCCTCTTAAAGAGTCCAAGAAGGTTCAACAGGTAGATAGTGATAATGTGCAGAACTAAGCTTGCATGCCTTTTTAAATTAAATTGTAATTCAAAATGCTGTTAGTCATCAAAAGGAAAGGTCATCTTTTGGGAAGACCATTCCAACCAAAGTGCACACTGACCTTAGTTACCTGTATAAATCGCATAACATCAACTTGCCTGCAAGATCAATGAGTAATATTCTACAGTATGTTGCGGTGAAAAGAATAACTTTTCATTCTGGATGGAGGAATCTCTTAGACGCAAATGAATTGACTACAATGTTTGCCTGCCTTCTGCAACTCTGAGTAAGTGTCAAAAAACATAAATGAGAGGCTGATAAAAGTATAACTAGCTGCCACACTAGATTTATTTTTCTAGTTTATAAAAGCAGTTCTGTAGTGCAATTGACCCAATAGTTATGGAGAAGATACTGTTTCAAAATTATATTCATTGACAGTTTTAAGTTTACAGCCCAACTTCCAACAGTTGTGTGTATGCCTTAAAATAATTTAATCTTCAGGCTGCTGTATAATAAAACTGTGTAATGGGACTAATAAAAATAGCTGAAACAGTGCCAACTTTATCATGTTTTTCCTGAAAACTATACCAGTATTAGTGTTGTGGATTTTTGCATGTGTTTTGTTAATTCTGAATGTATTTGTAATCTAACTGTGACTCCAAATCCAGAGGAGGTTTTAAATAGGTTACTAAGATGCATTATTCGGAAATCTTACTGTATGTGATTGAAGCTTTGGAGATTTTGATGCAGGTGTTACCCAGCTCTGACATTTTTGCAAATCTATACACTCATTTATCATGTCCAGTATTTATTTTGTAATCCCTATCCAGACCTTGAGAAGCTAATAACTCCCTTGGTAAACTGCTTGTGATTAAAAGAAATTAAAATCAAGTCTGCTAACTTGAATGAGTTTTGTGTTAAGTCAATATCTATTCCCACTGAAGGTGCGTAATTTACTCTTCCTGTGATTATGATAAAGAAAAGAAAACAGCTAGAACCACAGAGATCTAAATCTGCACTTAAAAAAAATTATAGCTACTTTCTCTATAGTGAATCCTAAAATTTGTTGGAACCAGTAGTTTTAAACTTGTGTTTTCTTTAAATAGCCTCATTTTATTGTTATGATAGCCATTTCTTGTGCACATTTTTAAAAAAAACTTTTAAAATGGGATTATTGTTTAAAAAAAACTTCTGGGATTGCAGTTTTTCCCCCGCGCATATCAGTCACTCAAACAATAAAGTTTGAGTTTATTTCCTGAAAAGTAAGGATTATGAACTGGGCATGAAGGAGTAAAAATTCTCCTGCTCTTCTGAGAAGGAGCACATGTTGCTAAGTTGCAGAGTGCAGTATATTGGCATTGCAGTGGGGCAACTTAAAACTTTTTTATATAAACAAATACATTTTATATATTCTATGAACTTGAATTTTAAAAATTGAACATTGCAGTGTTAAGCTCAGACAATTTGTCCAATGTGCCTGAGGTGATATAAAGCAATAAGGAGGAGGAAAAATTAAGGTGTACTTTTTTTGTGTCCCTGTTTAGACTTTTTTATTGAAAGAACAATTGGACTTTAAACACCAGTAAAATGTTTGACTTGAAGGGAACGATCAGCCTTCAAGTTCAAATTTTAGATTGACCCAAGAGAATTGCCTTTGGTGTTTGTTGGCAGGTGCCCCGTGATGAAATGTTCTGACTTGTGGGATGGGTGATTAAGTAAATTACTATTAAATACTAGCAGAAATTGAGGCTACCAACCACTGACCTGCCAACATTTATTTTTACAGAATGTTGTTTACATGGTTGAAAGTAACTGATTGCACCCTGTGGTGCAAAGGTAAATCAAATAGCACTATTTGAAATGTGAATAATATGCGCATATATGTTTAAATAAAGCAAATGGTGCAAGGATAGAGATGAAACATCCATTCTCTCACTTCATGCGTTGTAAAACAATTTTCATTTGAAGGGAAGGAAAAATCGTAAAGCAGTTGATAGCAAACATCAAATTTTCTTGTGAAGATTAAGTCTCTCTAAAATTTGCTATCAACTCTAACCAGTTCTGAAAAAAAAACCACATGTCAACAGTAAACCTAACGGTGAGATGCAAACTGTATTTTAATCAATATCAACTTAATTTCAATGACTTTGTACTGCAGTCAGGATACTTTCTTTTTAACAAAAATACCCCTATTGGGTGAAAGCCTTGATCTGGAATTAAACAATGAAATGAGAATGGTTCTTGGTAAGGGACAAGGTATCCAAGCTGGAGGTTTCAATTTAACAAAAATTGTTTGGGACAGTACTGTGCCTAATGCAAAGGTACACACAGGATTTCTACAGTTAGTAGACTGTTGTGTAGAATAGAGTTGAAATTTATTGTGACGTGCACTTTTACATGAAAAATATGGTCAAAGTTTTATGTTGCCCCACTGCAACGCCAATATTAATGACAGAAGTCATACACATGACAAAGTTCACACTTCAGTTAATAGCTTCCGGGCCTGGGCAAAGCTGATTAAGGAACATTGTACTACCCGGAAGATGCAGCCGGGATGAGAACGCCACAGAAGGACAAGACCGCAGCCAGTGTGGAGAAAGCACTCGTGATACAATTTTTAGTAACAGAAGTAATCAAATTGCCAACACAAAGTTGGTGATAACTTAAGCAATGGAATAAGAGCCATATGCCTGCCTGATCAAGTAGTATGGATTGTGAATTAGCTGGAACCACAGGTGCGTACAAATAGAGATTCAGCCAGCAACAAGTAGCTGATTGGTCTATCGACTAGTTGTCAATAGCCTTGTGCTTACCAATAAGTATGTGATTGGTTCTCAAGTAACTGAGCAGCTTGGGGTTTTGAACTAGATAGGGAGAAACCATCAGACCTCCACCAACTCGGGAGCTCTCTTCGTTGCCTGCAGTAAAAAACAACCTTAAAGCCAGTTTATTCTTCCTCAGCAGTTGCTATGAGCTCTGACTTCTAATTGATAAGTCAGAAACCTTTCGTCAGAGTGAATCAATCATCTCTTTGCCTCCTACAAACTAATGAAAGCATCTGGAGAAGGAATACCTAGAGTGCATTCTGATCAGCACAAAAACCATTTCAGCAGATCCTGTGAACAGGGACTAATCAACTATTTTCACTCTGTCCATAAAATCTGAGTTTATTTTTCTTTTCTGTGTATACGTAAGGGAAAGTTTATAAGGGGATTAGAGTTTTAACTAATAGAGTTTTATGCTGCGTTCATAATTGTTTGTCTATTTACTTGTAATGAATAGTTATTCTTCTTAAGTACAGAAACCTGGTCCATGCTTTCTGTTAACCTGGGTTTATAAAGCAAATTGGGGAATTCTGTGTACTTCTGTAAAATCTTTAACCACTTCAGGGCTTAATTTTTAGCAGGCTAGCTGTGTGGCGTAACACCTAGGTAAACTGAGGAGTGGCAATCTTGCTACTCCGTTCGTGTGTTGTTTTTTCAATTTGGACTGAGCTCTGCATTTCTAGCTGACAATTCAGATTCCGACTCATTCAAAAATGTGCAGTGTACTTGAAATCAAACAATTTGCCCTGAATGCAGGGTAATTTGGGAAGTTGAACTATGTACCCTTTTGCAGCAGTTGGCGCGCCATGTTCTGAGATTTAAATGTCCAGCAGTACTTTGACAGTTCCTGTGAGTGTCAAAGTGTGGGGTTAGGTTGACAGTTGGCTAATACATTACGGTGGCAAGAAAGTGATGGATTGCTTCACGTAGGTCACTGAGGGGAGGGGATGTTATTGGGGTTGTGGTCAGCTGGACAATTTCCTTGGACTTAAGTTAAAGGATTAAAAGCTAACCTTTCATGTGTAACTATTAGCTTAATTGAAGCAGAGCCTTGTGAATTTTGTGACTGGATTATTTCAGTTGGATCCGTATGCAGGGGAATTGCCCATCAGAATCTTCAATTTCCTGTGCAATTTTCCATGAAATCTGCACTTGGGATTTTGCTTGACCCCAACATGAAGCTCTAGTCTGCACTGCTCCAGTGATTATCAAGCCATCTGAATATCTAGGCTATTTTTGGGTTAAGAAACAGGTGTTTTGTGGGTTAAGTTGTATGAGCTGTGCCTTTTCTCCTCGGAGAAGGGAAAGTTAAGAGATTTAGTAGAATATTCAAAGTCACTTTTTTTTTTGAAGAAGGATTCAGAGCTAAAGGCTACCAACTTAGGACGATTTGCAAAAGAAGCAACAGCACATGGGAGAAAGTCTTGATCACATAGTGGTTAGGATCTGGAAAGAAATTCATATGATTGATGATCGTGTCTTGGCCACAATATGATGTATCTTTCATGGGCATCAGGTCCTAAAGTCAGACTCAAACCTATGGTCAGAGGCAAGGATGCTACTTCTGTGCTATGAAACTTCTCCATAGGTTAACAAAACGTAAATTTTCAAACCACCATCTGCTTGAGAACATTTGTTAGGGTTGGTGGGTTTCAACATGTCAAAAATAGTGAGGCAGTCCTGAATCCAGATCAATACAATACTTTGAACATTCTTTCAGTTCTAGTTATATAATGAAACTAAAATTGCAGCATCAGAAAGGATGGCCCAGGCTTTCTGCTAGCCAGACAGTCGTCAGACCAGCAGAGGAGGAGTTGAGTACTGTGGAATACTCATTGTAGCACTCTCAAGTGATTGTCTGGGATAGTAGGAACTGCAGATGCTGGAGAATCTGAGATAATAAGGTGTAGAGCTGGATGAACACAGTAGGCCAAGCAGCATCAGAGGAGCAGGAAGGCTGACGTTTCGGGCCTAGACCCTTCTTCAGAAATGGGGGAGGGGAAGGGGGTTTTGAAATAAATAGGGAGAGAGGGGGAGGCGGATAGAAGATGGATAGAGGAGAAGATAGGTGGAGAGGATACTGACAGGTCAAAGAGGCGAGGATGGAGCCAGTAAAGGTGAGTGTAGGTGGGGAGGTAGGGAGGAGGGAGGGCGGACAGGTCGAG